ACAGTCTGTGGCAACCCTAGCAAATTAACATACTCATTTTGAGAGGCTCACCTTCCTCTCCAACAAAGCCAATTTCTTAGAGTCAGCGCTTCAAGAATTCTGGTTTGTACATATTATCTCATTTTCTAACTTCCTCTCTATGTCATATTTACTCTCCTTTTCTCTACTCAATCAAGCCTAATTCTAAACTATAACCCTGGTGACATGGTCATTTCTGAAATACATGCAAAAACTGACAACCTTTTTATTTTTAGCAACGACAGTATACAGAGTCAGAGCGTCTCTCCAAAATTAAAAACATTTAAAAATTTGAGAGCCACTAGTTTTTGTCATCATCATTTTCTTAAAAATGTAATTTGCATCAACAATTTTTTAAAAAAATCAGACAATGTGAGTATATGTAAAGTTAAAAGTGGAAGCTGACCATTCACCAAATCCTTCTTGCTGACCATTCACCAAGTCCTTCTCCAAAGAAATATTCACTGTTGACAATTTGGCGTGTAAATGCCCTGCTTTATTTATTTATTTAATTTTTTGGCTGTGTTGGGTCTTCGTTGCTGTGCGCGGGCTTTCTCTAGTTGCAGCGAGCAGGGGCTGCTCTTCGTTGAGGTGCACAGGCTTCTCAATGCAGTGGCTTCTCTTCATTGGGGTGCACTGGCTTCTCTGCAGTGGCTTCTCTTGTTGAGGACCACGGGCTCTAGGCGCACAGGTTTCAGTAGCTGTGGCATGCGGGTTCAGTAGTTGCGACTTGCAGGCTCTAGAGCGCAGGCTCAGTAGTTGTGGTGCACAACTTAGTTATGCTTAGTTGGGCTTAGTTGCTCCACGGCATGTGGGATCTTCCAGGACCAGGGCTTGAACCCGTGTCCCCTGCATTGGCAGGCAGATTCTTAACCACTGCACCACCAGGGAAGCCCTGCCCTGCTTTAAATGAAGGAGTCTCCTCTAAAACATATTTGCAATACTTGTACAGGCTACCTCCTTATTCTGTGAGCACCACTCTAGCAAATGTCTCACTCCTTGGAAGAAAAGATACCGTCTTCGTTTCTGGGGCTGGAGACCCAAGTCATGGCCTCACAACCTGGATATCTGCCAGCAAGAGCAGAATATCAGCCTTTGCAGACAGCCTTCCATAAAGTCCTAATAAAAGAAGCCCAGAATTGCTTAAACATTAGATAAGTAACTGTTCAGATTTATTTGTTCCTGATACAATACGCCAACCCTTGCAGTTGAAAATTAAACGATAATATACTTCCCCCTCTGTTCTACACAGCAATAACCTGTTTCCCTGGTGGATAATCAGAGGCCAAAGGGTGGGTAATTTATCACAAAAGAGAAATGGGAGGATTGCCAAAAGTAACAAAGGGGCAGTGATATCCTTGCTCCTACTATAGGGCACTGGTTTAATGAAGGCAAGGTTAATAAACTTTCCCAGCAATGTAAGGTCAAGTCCAGTCTTCTCCTTAAAGCCAAGGCAGCCAGCCAGATCACAAAAAATAGGAAGTAATAGATATCATGTTAATCACCTTTTTTTATGGTCAAGAGCTATATTCCTGGGAATCAAAAGACTAGTATATTATAATCTAGTTGCTTTCTCTAAAACTCTCTAATATTTCATACAATTGTGCAAATTAACGTGGGCCATATTTCTCAGAAACTAAAAGAAAGACAGGTGTCAGGAAAAAGATGCAAAGTTAGTAAGAAAATTAACTTCTGTCTGTTTTTTTATTAAAGTTAATTTATAGGCTATTTTTCATGAGAATTGTGTATGTATGTGTGGGTGTGTGTGGGTGTGTGGTTAAATGTTTGAAACCTCTGTGTTCATTCTCATAATCATGTGATAGCTGAGCCTGTTTAACAAGTTGCTGGAGATGACCCTGAGGAAACAGAAAGTAGTATTAATAAGTAGATGGGGAGGTAATGCAAATTTTGTAGCTGCTAAATTTTGGTTGCAGGTTCAAACTTATATACATGGAAAGGGTGACTGTGGCTGTACACACAAAATGAAACAAGAGAATTCGAAGTCTATGTTTAGATAACTAATGTGAAAATATGTGTAATGATATATATAATGAAGAAATGAATTACACACTTTGTGTGGGGTAGGGAGGACACATCCTTAAGGACTATAGCAATAACAGCTAATATTTATTAAGTGTTTATTATATACCAGGCATTATTAACTATTTAACCCCCACTACAGCCCTGTTAGGTAGATTCTATTATTGTCCCCATTTTACTGATGAGGAAATCAAGTTCCAGAAAGGCTAAGTGACTTGCCCCAAGTCACACCATTAACTGGTGTGGGTTCAGTTGGTGAGTTGGCCATCTGATCCCAAGTCTCGATGTACCTTCAGGTCTTGGAATCCCAAAACTGAAAAACACCTTAGAGGTATACTATTTCAGTCTTCCACCAAAAAATTGAACAGGAAGTCCCCCAGCCTCCCACGGGATAGCTCTTCAGAAAGAGGAAGCTCACTGAGGAAACCCTTGTAGGAGCAACTCTCTTAGAAATTTCTTCCTTCTAGTTTGAGTGGTACTTGTTTCCCCTGCAACTTTCACTTATGCATTCAGTGTCTGGTCTGCACCCTACCCCTAGCGGAGCTAATCCCCCCATTCACAAGACAGCTTTTTTTTTCATTTTATTTTATATTGGAGTATAGTTGATTAACAGTGATGTGTAAGTTACAGGTGTACAGCAAAGTGACTCAGTTATACCCATACAAGTATATTAATTCTTTTCCAAATTCTTTTCCCATTTAGGTTATTACAGAATACTGAGATGTATTCCCTATGCTATACAGTAGGACCTTGTTGGTTATTTATTTTAAATACAGTAATGTATACACACACAAGACAACATTTGAACATTTGTGGAAGACTCTCACATTACCCCTTGAGACTTCTTTTTACTACATACTGAAAGTGATTTTCCCCTGAAAACAAACCAGATCACATCATTCCCTATTTGAAATGTCTGTTGACTCCTCCTTGCCTGTGAGATAACCAAATTCCAAATTCCTTTGCACGGCATTCATATGCCATGGCTCAAACCAAATAGGAGTCTGTCTCCTACTTATATTCAATCTAAGATGGATGTTCCTTATCCATGGGCACCTATGCTCCAAAAGGTAATTCAGGAACCCAGGTTTTGTCCATCTGCAACAAGTGGCTTCTAAGGTTGCCATGCATATCTACAGTGAGATGGAGATTAGCATGTAGGAGATGTAGACCTAGAATGGTGTGGATCACTTCCAACCACCTGGCAATTGTGAGGACTCTACCACATGGCTTCATTTAAGTGCAAAGGAAATGGCTACACTCAGGAAGAGGAAGAAACAGCCTGGTGAGCAGCCAGCCCCTCTCTGGTGACCTTACCTTCTCTTTTCTGCCTCATGTGCCACCACTTTTCCTTAAGCAACTATATTCAAATCTAACCCAACTTCCTATTATTCTAAAGCATGTCAGGTCCTCACTTTGCTTTATGCATGCTGCTTTGCTACATCTAAGTTCCCTTCTTTGTTTTGTAAAATCCTATTCATACTTCAAGTCCTAGTTCAAATATCACTCCCACTCTTCCCCATCTCTCATTCCTCCAACAACTAGTGTTATTTTCTGACCCCGCTGTGTTCTCACAAAACTTGAAACATTTATGCATTGTCAATTTTACATATCTATATGCATATACATAAAAACCCCACTGTATTATATTTGTGTTCATGTTCTCTCAGTTATCTTTAAAACTCTCAATTTTCCTTTTTTCATCTCTGTAGGCCTTCAGTATCTCTTACCTGGACCATCGCAAAAGCCTCCATACTGATCTCCCTTTCTGACCATCTTACCACCCTCCACACAGCTCCTGGAGTAATTTATCAAAAATGCAAATCATGCCGTGGAATCCACCTCCTACTGAAAACCTTCTAAGACCCATGGCCTAGAGCAGCTACTCTTAAAACTCAGGGATCCTTGAGTCCCTCCTCCAAAGAGTTTCATGCTGCAAGTCTACAGTAGCATCCAGAAAGCTGCAGTTTCAATAAATGCCCAAATGATTTCGATGTAGGAGGTTGGTAGACCATATTTTGAGAAATAATGAGTTACAGAAAAAACCCCAAAGTCTTGACATGTCACATATTCTACTAATACCAAGTTATGTGTATGTCCCTGTAGATATGTTACATTTTGAGTCCACTGTACTTCCGCACACACTCTGCCTTATACTTAGATTGCTCCTCTCTGTGTGGTCTCCCTAATGGATTTTTATTCATTCTTGAAAATGCCCCTTAGGCCTCATTCATCTTGCAGCCTTCCCAGTCCCTCCTTGCCCACACAGAATTAATCTCTTCCTCCATATAATTTCTGTGCCTTGTAAATATTTATGTTTCTACATATATCACATTGGCAGAGATACCACCAGCTTGGACTGAGAGGGACAGAGAGAGTGAAAAATGAAAAAAAGGCCATTAGACCCCCAAACTTCTACGAGCAGGAAGCAAGCTGCAAAAAACTACTCAGGTGGACTTCCGTGGTGGCACAGTGGTTGGGAATCCGCCTACCAGTGCAGGGGACACGGGTTCAGGCCCTGATTCGGGAGGATCCCGCATGCCGTGGAGCAACTAGGCCCGTGTGTCACAACTACTGAGCCTGCACGCCACAACTACTGAAGTCCATATGCCTAGAACCCATGCTCCACAACAGGAGAAGCCACGACAATGAGGCCGCGCATCACAACAGAGAGTGGCCCCCGCTCACCGCAACTACAGAAGGCCCGTGTGCAGCAGTGGAGACCCAATGCAGCCAAAAATAAATAATAAATAAATAAATTTATTAAAGAAAAAAACAAAACTACTCAGCTGCAGATACATACTACCTTTCACTAAACAAACAAAACCAATGGCTCACAGGTTGGAAATAAGAGCAGACGGTGGAACCAAGAGCCATGAATAATTATTTCCATGCGTTGCTTCCTAATCAAGAACTTCAACCTGTGTCCAGCTGGATTTCAGAATTGCCATGGGCCAAGCACTCCTGTGCACACTGCATGTTCCCCTTTCTCAACAGGGGGGTCTACAGTGGTTACACCAGGCTCATCTCGCCATTGCATGTTGGCTGCAGGAGGAGTAGATAACATGTCTCTTCAGTTTATACATCTTCAGATCAAGGGGAATGGTATTAAAGGGGACTACACCCAAGGAATCTCTCCACACTTGGACCTGATTTTGAAGCCAACATCGTGGATTTTAAGCTGATAATTTAAGTGAATGAGACTCTTCAGGGGTAAGGGGAAGAGTTTAGTATATTTTGCATGTGGAGACATTAAAAGTAATTTGTGGCCAGAGGAAGAACTGTGATGGTTTTCAAATATGTCCATAAATTCTTTGATGCTCCTCCCTTCCAAGATGGAGCTATTTTCTCTCCCTTTAAGAGTGACCTATACTTACTGACTTGCTTTTAACAAATAAGATGCAGTAAAAGTAACAATATGTGATAGCCAAAATTAGGTTATAGATGGCCTCCTCCTTAATCTCCTTCTCCCTTGGATCATCTCTCTGGGAGAAGTCAGCTGTCACATTAGCCCTACGGAGCCAGCCCCTGTGGAAGGTAACTGAGGCCTCCTGCCAATAGCCTTAATAACCCACAGAAAAATTAGTTAGTGAGCCCTCTTAGAAAAGATCCTCCAGCCCCACCCAGGCCCTCAGATGCGTACACTCTTGGCTGACACCTTGACTACAACTCATAAGATTCTCTGAACCACAGCCATCCATTTTAAGTTAATATCTAAGTTTGTGCATTAATCTGTTACACAGCAGTAGATAACTAATACACTGGGTAATTACAAATCTTTACTTTTATTCATTCAGGGCCAGGTGCTCTCGTAGGCACTTGGATATAGTAATGAACAACGTGAGCATAATTTTTCTCTCAAGATAGACTAGTGGGAAAGGCAGATATTAACAAACACGTGCATTTATATGTACAGATCGTTGTAAGTACTGAGAGAAAAGAGTATGCAATGAGGAGAAAAATGAGAGAGATGCAATTTAGATTTGGAGGATCTCTATAAGGATGTGGCATTTAAGCATAGATCTAAAAGAGGGGCAGGCTTTAGCCAGCTGAAATTGTGGGAAGAGACTTTCAGGCAGAGCAAAGAGCTTGCACCAAGGCCTTGAGTTAGGGGAAGGCATGGATGGATCAAAGAACCAAGGGGATGAGGGAGGCAATGTGACTCGAGTGTCATGAGCAGGAGGGAGATGGGATTGAGTTGAGGTTGGAAAGGGAGGCCAGAAGCAGATCACGCAGAAACTTGTGGGCCATGATGAGGAGTTTTTAGCTGAGGAAAGGCTCTGAAGGCTGAAGAATAACATGATCCAGTGTATTTTATTAAATGACCACTCTGAAGTTCACATGGAGAATTGATTAGAAAGGGACACGAATAGAATGGGGAACAATTAGGAGCCTCTGAATGTAGACCAGGAGGGGAAAGAAAGTGGATCAGCCTTGGTAGTGGAGATGGAGAGAAGTAAATGGATTCAAGCAATACCAAGGGGTCAGAATCACTAAGACTTTAATCCATCAAGTGTAACAGAACAAGCAAAACTTCTAATCAAGAAAATTTAGGGGACTTCCCTGGCAGACCAGTGCTTAAGATGCCACACTTCCAATGCAGGGGGCGCAGGTTCAATCCCTGGTCAAAAAGTCAAAGTCAAATCCCATATAAATTTTTCTGTGAGTTATTACCTAATATTTTACTGCTTAATAGTCATTCTGCTTTTTCTAAAATGACTCTCCAAAAGCATACGAACTCTAATGTTAGTCAGTGTCTAGAGAAAGGAAACAGAGGAATAATTTTCTGAACTTTTCTTTTGACTAACAATGTGAATTATCAAGACTTTTATAAAACGATCCAATTACATAGCTGCAGCACCAAAGAGGTGAACTTAGGTTAAATAGAATACTATCTGGGAGGGAGTCCATTGTGTGTCTGTTTCCATTTTATTGCTACTTGTATAGTCACGTAAAATCTTAAGTTACAGTGTTTTACCTGGCTACCACAATTATACAGATAATATGCCCATAAGATTGCCAAGGTAAATAAGCTAAGGGTGATCCTTTGAAAAGCTAGACCTATTCTACCAGGTCAGTTCCAAAGGTGTTGCAATCAAGGGGTGTGTTTTGAGTTGGATGTTTCCTGTTCTGGTTACCTAAACTGCACCACTCCTGTGTTAAATACCATGTGTCTAGGTCTACACTAGGAAAGGCTAGAAAGGAAGAAAGGGCGAAACATACTTGAATGCACATTTAGAAAACTGAGGTCACGCTATGTAGAAGGGTTTTCTTGGACGGTAACTGCTTCAGAACTCCTTTCTTCAATTAGAGACATTTATCCTCTAGAGCAACATTCCTCAAAGAGTGGTTCAGGAGCCGTTTGCATGCCTCAGCATCACCCGAGATGCTCATGAAAATACAAGTGCTGATTCAGTAAGTCCTAGCTGGGCCCCTTGAACCTGTGTCTTAAAGAGCATTGAGGGAAACCCAATTTATATACACTAGAATTTAAGTATCTGTACTATAGGATACACTATCATGGCTTGATAAAAACTCTAAGTATATGCAAAGTTATCTGGTTTGATAGCCAAAGGACATCAAACCGTTTCCAAAGAGAGATTTTCAGGCAGAAGTATAAATCTATTACTTTACTTTGAGGAGAGTGACAGTATTAAACTCATATAAATCTTTCAAAATCTTCCATTCTTCATAATTTGAAAACTTGCTGTTGGCTGTCAAAACTAAATTGGTCAAAGCAACGTCAATTTTCTTTCTCCAGAGGTTTTCGCATACAAAATGGTCTTCAAACTGAAAGTGAGCACAAGGACAGTTAATGTTCTGTTTTTATCTCCAGATAATGTTCTGTTTTTTGATCTAGGTGTTAGTTACAAAGCCATGTTCTCTTTATAAAAATTCTTCAAGGGAATTCCCTGGTGGTTCAGTGGTTAAGACTCTGCGCTTCCACTGCAGGGGGCATGGGTTCAATCCCAGGTCGGGGGAACCAAGATCCCACATGCTGCATGGCAAGGCCAAAAAAAAAAAAAACTTCAAGCTAAACACTTGTGATATGGAAACACTTCTCTATACAAAGTATTCTTCAAAAAAAATTTAATTGGTCTTTAAAAAAAATTCAACCTCATTAGGAACTATATGAAACTACTTTAACAAGATATTCTTGTCTTTCAAACTAATAACCTTAGTATTGATGGCTGTTGAACTGAAATGGTCATTCTCATATACATTGTTTTTTGGAAATATAAACGGATGTAAGCCTTTTGGGAAGCATTTTGACAATCAATATTTGTCCAAAGCTTTTTAAAACAGTCATACTCATTGACCTAGTAATTCTACTTCTTGAATCTATCCCAAGGAAGTAATCTTCAGTATGAGAAAAGCTCTATTCCCAACATCCAAAATATAAACCCAACTAAATAATCACAATAGCGGAACTCTTACTGAAATCTTAATATATCTATATGGTGATAAGTATACACTGGTTATAAACGTAAAAAGAAAAGCAAGGAAATAATTGATACAAAATTCTTTTTAAAAATTTTATTGTATAGTTGATTTACAATGCTGTGTTTAATTTCTGCTGTACAGCAAAGTGACTCAGATATACATATACATTCTTCTCATATTCTTTTCCATTATGGTTTATCACAGGATATTGAATATAGTTCCCTGTGCTACACAGTAGGACCCTGTTGTTCATCCTATATATAATAGTTTGCATCTGATACAAAACTCTTGATGCAACTGGGAGAAGGCACAAGGGTATCCTAAGTGCCTGCTAATATTCTATTTAAGTTTGTTGTATATACAGATAGTCTGATTATCATCATTATTTAAACTGTACATAAATTTTATATACTAATATATACAAATATATGTTATATTTTTATAAAATTCATAACAAATCATATTTACCAAAAGTTTATCAACATGAAACATGCTCATGTATAATGGTGAGGTTTTTTTTTAAAAAAAGACATAAAATTAATTATAAATTATGGTATATAGATTATGTAAAAGAAGGTTGGGATCATCAATACAAAGACACAGAAATCATCTCAAAACAAAAGAAAAGAAGAATGCACCTAAACTGATATCCTTTTCATGTGATATAATTATACACCTAGAACTTTCAAGACAATCAACTGACAGTGTTACAGAACCAAACTGGGGTCTACTTGCCCAACACCCAGCAAAGCCAATCTACTGATACCAGGTTGTAGTGAAGGAAAGTAGAGCCTTTATTGCAGGGATCTAAGCAAGGGAGTAGGAGACAGGCCTCAGATTCACTCCAACCTGGTCTTTGAGTTAGGGGTTTTTTAAAGGGGATGAACAAACAGCCTGGGATTAAACATCAGCTTGTGACATTTCTGACATTTAACTGTAGTTTCAGGAGTCAGGATGTCTATGGTTTACAATGGTCCACAACTTGGGGATGCGCTAGCTCATCTTGCCCTAGAGAAACAACCTGAGTTTGTACATTAATGATGATATCTATAACAGCAATTTTAGTCACCTGACTCTGGTTATTAGTGTTCCATTAGCCCAGGATTGATGTCAGAGGGGACAAGGCTATCCTGGACACCAGCTCTAATAATAACAGCTAACAATTTTTGAGGGCTATGTACCAAGCACTGTACTAAATGCTTTTTAATGTATTAACTCATTTAATCCTGAGGGAGGTTAGTATTATTATCCTGATTTCAAGGATTAAAAAAATCCTAAGGAATAGAGAGGTTAAGTAACTCTGTGAGGTCACACAGCTAGTAAGTGACAGAGCCTGGCAGAGTTTGTGCACATAGCTAATACATTATATTGCCCTAACAATAAGCAGTTAGGAAATGTTATAGGTCACAGGATCTCATTCACAAAACAATACAGGATCATTAAAAACACAAACAAAAATCAAAACAAACAAAACCCTAGCAATAAATGTAACCAAAAAGTCACATTTTAAAAAATTTAAAACAAGACCAGATTGGAAGACTCAATAAATTAAATGGATGTCAATTCTCCAAAATAACAAAAAAATGGGGGGGGGGTATGAAAAAAAAGTGAGTAAGCTCTATCTTCCAGATAGTCCAGTCCTCCAGCCAGTCACACAGGGATGTCCCTGGAGCTTGAACTGCAAGGTGCTCCATTCACACAAAGGTAGCTCAAATCCAGCAATCTGGTTTGGCTACTTTGAGAAAAAGACAAAAGTACGTCTCAAACAGTGGCAGGCCATAGAGTGAAGCGTTCTGCTCCACTTCTATCCCGGAACCAAGGCATCAGCATGACAGCCTGGTCAACATTCATTCACTAAGGTGTGGTCAGGGCAACATTTGGCCACTATTTTCCGGTAACAATAGTAATGCAGGCTGTAATTCTCCAGCTATGCAGAAATAAAAGAGCCCTCCCTGAGTCTCAGAGTGCATAAAGGGGCTAGCAGATCAGACCACCACGATAACCTTCTGTCACACCAACAATGGTGAGCTGAAGTCAACCATAGATCTCCAATCCAGCTCTCCCTATTTACAAGGAAACTGAGGTCTAGAACGGGCTTCTCCTCCCAGGTCACAAAATTATTTTAAGCCAGAACCAGAGCACTAACTCCCCCCTCCCCCCAAGTTTTGAATATGCACATCCAAAGTATTGCAACCTATTTATACAAGGGTCCCCAACGCCTGGGCCATGGACCGGTACTGGTCCATGGCCTATTAGAAACCAGACCGCACAGCAGGAGGTGAGCGGCGGGTGAGCAAGTGAAGCTTCATCTGTATTTACAGCCGCTCCCCATCGCTCGCGTTACTGCCTTAGCTCCACCTCCTGTCAGCATTATGGTGAGTTGTATAATTATTTCATTATATATTACAGTGTAATAATAATAGAAACAAATTGCACAATAAATGTAATGTGCTCGAATCATCCCAAAACAATCCCCCACCTCCCTGGTCCATGGAAAAATTGTCTTCCGAGAAACCAGTCCCTGGTAACAAAAAGGTTGGGGACCACTGTATTTATAGATAAAACCAGCATTTCCCAATCTTCAGACATTCACCTGAATGATTTTGCCACACTATATATTATCTCTACTATTATTCACTTTATATTCTCTTTGAATATACTCCTTTCTCATACATTAACTTAGCTTCATTCTAAGCAACAATACCCATTCAGTCATGAATGAGATGTGTATTTTTTCCTAACACATCAAAATAAATATGTATCTACTGAAATTACAATGTTTGTCTCTGAACTATTCCTCAGAAAAGTAAACCATCCTTTGCCATATTTGGAAAGATCTCCCACACGTGTTCCAAGGAATTCTAATCTTTATCATGTTAATAGGTATTAGTGAGGAAAGAGTGCAAGATCAATAAACCTAGGGGATGCTAACTAAAATGAAGTTAAAGAGCTTTGAATTTTTTTAATGGTTAGACACCTCAGGGACTAAAGAGGGAATATAGTGCAATATTTCCAAAATTTATCTGACCATGAAATCCTTTTTTCTAGGCAGAATCAGTATTGAAAACATGTTCTGAGCTGTATTAATTTTCAAAAGGCACCAGTTTTTCTTTTTGAGCCCATAAATTACAAAAATAGATACTGTATATAATAATTTACCTTGTATCCCTATTAGAACACTTAGAATATTTTTATGGTCGGAAAAAAGAATGGGTAGAAAATCGATATTTCCTCTTGTCATTTTCAAAACGTCATTCTCTTGGGTAAAGGAAACTCACCTTGTTTATAATGAAACCGTGCAATAACATTGGCACTCTAAAAACGTATATATCACTTCTAATAAGTCATCCAAATCTCCTACATTATTGATTGTAGTTGATAACACACAGGCTTTTTATGAAGGCTTGTTTTTGTTGCCTTGGGGACTTCAAGAGTGACAGGTCCATAACATCACACTGGTCTGCAGATGTGACCATGGGAAAATGTGTAACAATGGGAAAATGTGTAACAGATTTACCACCTAGGCATTTTTTTTCTCTCTCTCTCTCCTGGTCCTTCCCTTCCCTTCCTTCTTCCTTTCTCTCTTTCCCACACTCTCCCTTTTCAAATACTTTGATATAAAAAACTAAAAAGTATTTTTCATCCTTAGGCATTTTTAAGTATTTTTGTTATCATGGGGAAAACATCCCGTAGCTACTAAACTACTGCTTTAAAGCCAAAGTGTACAAATATTTCTTTTCTTGCATTTTCAAATAAAATTAAGAACTAGGACTCAAGATAAAGAAAATGCTGCAATACCTTATCTTCAGTATTCCTGTTAATGAAATTAAGCAGTCCATTAGTAAGGAAGAATGCTAATGTGTTAAGAACAAGATATTCCTTCATCCAACCATGCACCAAGTCACAGACCATGTTGAGTATATTACTCTTAAATACTTACTTTTTTCCCAACAACAAAATCTCAATATATTCTTCCTCTACACCTTACAGAGGTTATCAAGTTATCAAGTAAATTTTTATTCTGTAGAATGCTTTTTATGTTCTCATTCAAAAATATTTATTAACTAGAAAGTTGTGTTCTTCTAAGGTTCCTCACCAAACACTGGAGGCCAGGAAAACATTCAGAAAAATGAGTCAGCTCTTGCAAGTGTCCACATTAAACACTAATGCACTGCAACAGAATCATCCTGAATAAGCTGAATTCTCTCGAATATCTAAGGCAGCTACAAACAGACTAAAGATTGTGTTTTCTCCTCTCTCTGGTTCTAGAGTCAATTGTGCACTGCACTGTGTTCATAATAGAAATAGTGTTTCACTCTTTCAGTAAGGGAGATAAACAAGAGTTC